ATATGCGTTTTTGCTGCCTGTTGCAGCGCTCTAGCGCTGCACGGCAAAAACGCATAAAAAGCAGAGAAAAGGCCGAATCTGTTGCATACTGTAGTCGGAAACGCTGATCCAAGCATTTTTGCGATGTGCATATTTTATTATATCAATAAATGGTGGGCGCATCAGATAATCAGTACAATCATGCATCATGTGCGTTTTGCTGAGCAGAGCCAGAAAAGTGGGTTGACTGATTCCTGCCTAATTTCCCTTGCTTTGTGTATGTGCACCTGTAAATATCAAGTGACAATTACACGTCAGCGTTTATGACGGAGTGGGCGTTTTTGCGTATTACGCCAGTGCAAAAGCGCATGTTGGCAGAAGGTTGCCTGTTCGTATGTGCATGTATGCCCCTGTTTTTGCACATTTTGTTACCCATTTTCAACTGGGAAAATGGCTTTAGCAGAGGAGCAAAAGGGCTGTTTTCACTGCGAATGGACTGCGCTCATCGCAATAGGCACGTGCCACCATGACCTGTCATGAAATTCATTGGTTCTGTGAACAGTTCTGCCCTATGGCTTTTTATTCGAAAGCATTATAAGTCAGTGCATCAAGTTCGTATTATCATTTGGAATTTCCTTCAGATATACATATATATATATATATATATATATACATTTATTATATATATTTATTTATTGTCGTATAAGTCTGCAATGACGCTATAACTGGATGGGCGAACTATTAAATTATAAGAGCTATGAGGCAAACATTTTGAGGGCATCACCTCCCATCCCTGTGCATATTCAGAAACATGATCAGCTCGAAATTCCTCTTTCCTCGATTTTCAACCTAGCGCTTAAAACTTGTACAGACACTCTAGAAACAACGGAGCTACGAGGCGGACATCTCCGACATTTAATTTTTGTCAACTAACTGAACCAATTTCAATTTTGTACACAACTTGTTTGTGATTTCTATGACTACGCCAATTTTGCTCAGCGAACCGTTGAAGCTCCAATCGAAGGATACTGAGATCAATTATTTCAGTCCTTTGGAGGCTAAATTGAAGTCAGTTTCGAAACACGAGTCTGCCTGCCAAACGACCTTATGTCCTATTGCCAGATAGGCTGAGAAAGCATGGACTGGGAAGCACCAGGCCGTCGGTGCGATCATGCGTTTTTATATCACATCTGAAGCAACCAGGTCTTAACTACATGAGTGGTTCTTACTTAACATTTACTTTGTGGTCTCACCAGCGTAAATCATCGCAAATTTTGCATAAAGGAAAGTGAATAAATTCAGTTTGACGATCAGTTCTTGAAAATGAGCTGGCCGACCAATGACTACTTCTCCCGCCAAAACTTCTGAGTGTCCACATGTAGGAGCTGCGCACACCTAGGGCCTGAATTTGAAATCTTTAAGTTATACGTGAACATAGAGAAACCCCCTCACAATCTCAGCTTTTTAAATTTCCTGGTTCTCGAGCTAGCAGTCTTTCCACCATAAATTTTCACGGGCCCGTACTTAAGAACTGCGCACACCTGAGGACTATGCTTGAGATCTTTAAATTGCTCATGGGATGGGAACATCCCCTTGAAAGTTCAGCCTCCCAGCTTTTATAGTTTTCGCATTAGTTATTTTCTCGCCCAGTCGTAAGTAGAGGTTGATGCAGAAGCACCCGGGTAGAGGTACGCACATGCACTATGCTTCATCACAATATGCTTTTTGTCTTTGTATATACGCAAAACACTAATACTTCCCTGACTGTGTCGTATTCCAATTCACAACCGTCAGTTCAAATTCGGATGAACTTTTAAAGCATCTGAAGTTTGCCGCTTTCAGTACTGCCAACATCCTACAGCAAAGGCAAGTGATCGCACAGGCCCCATCAACAACATCGTATGTGGCAAAAACGCTCGTAAAAACGACAAAACCTTTAACTTAATCTCCAAAATAAACGAAAATAAACGGATCACAAGCAGATAGACACACAAGTTTGCCAAAAAAAATCAATTCAATTCAAAAAGCTAAAAGTTAATAATAATTCAATTTTTCTCAAATTGTACACTTTGCCCGTTTTTTCACTACGCCAGCCTCACCAGCAAGCTGATACGCTTCTGCTCTTCGCTTCGTGCCTCTATTTTCCTGCAACAGTAACAGCAAATAACACTGACTGCCGTATCACTAAAAACCAACTTTATTGAGGGAGGTCAAACTTTTTCCTAAACTTTATGAAAAGATAAAAAATTTGTTCCGTGGCTAGACAACCGCAAATAATCAGCAACGGTTCCCAAAAAAATTAAAATACCACGTCGTTTCTCACCTTCTCATTGTTTACGGTTTCCGCCAAACAACTCTGCTTACATACAGATGAGTCTAGATCTTCCGGCTTTAACCACTTTTTGAGCTCTGATTTTCTAACATACTGCGGTAAAACCTGAAAATAAAGCCATTCAGGCAGTAACCTATACAGATGGCAGCACAGCATCTACAGGTACTTCATGCCATACAGTGGTGCTAGCGAGATGCCACTGCAAGAACGCGGGGGCTCAGTTCTAACGGTATCAAAGAAAAAAAGAACTCACGCTCATTCCTTCAGTATAAATCCGCTGTTTTTTTGCTGCCAGTGTGACGGCGTCCACGAATCCCTGAACTTCTTTTTCAATATCGATATTTTTTGTTCGCTGCTTGTTGAGTTTCAATCCAATGAACCAAACGCGGCATATAGGAACCCTGATGCACACAGTCTTTTCAAGATTGTGATCATTAAAAACGAACGAACAGTAGCTGCCACGAATTAAAAACAGTTCTGAGCTGCATCAGAAGAAAGAAAAATGCTTTGGGAAACCAAGCATATGCACAGTGCAAACTTACGGAATTGGCGCTGTGACCGGCAACGGATTAGTTCGCGGCATGAAATATTTTGGATAAATATGGCACAAAGCGATGCCTGGATGTCGTTCGAGGTTTGCAATCAAATGTCGAATTTTTGATTCGACCAACCCCGACCATATCAAATTATCTTTCTGAAAATTAATACATGACCGAGTGTTGCAAAAATCACTTTATATACGTACCACTACGCAAGAATCATGTCTTTCAGCAACTCTAAAAACAATTTAACAAAATTTTCACAGCTTAAATATATTTCAAAAGTCAAATTAACAGACAAGTTGAAAAACAAACCTCAGTTGCCGCAACTGAAAGAAGCGCCAGGAAATGTTTGTATCGTGAAAAAAAATTGACTTTCTCGAACAATGCTGACCATTCCGCCTTTCCGCCTATTATATCCATGACAATATTGAGTGCTGGAAGAACAAAATGCCTTATTACTACAGGAAACAAGAATGTTAGAAAACTACAAGAACAAATGCAGCAGCAACATCGTTAGTAGCAATTTAATATGAACCTTTGTTTATTTCATCCGTGATAATTTGTCGTGCTGACTTAGTGACGTTGAATGTGGAATTCTGCTCAGGAAATGCAGGCGTTATTATTGGCATCAAGTGATAACTACAAATAATTAACTGACATTTTGATAAATTTTAATAAATGCACTGAATGATATCTGTCCGGAAAGAGATACTGAGATCATAAGATCCGAAAACATACCGATCACAGATTCGTGTCCGCGGATTCCATACAGATTCCTGTAAAGAAGGCATTTCCACTAAGCGCGAACTCTGAATGCCTTTTAAAATTACTGGAAGCGGCCACTCCCTGCAAATTTCAATACGGAAATATCAAATTGCTCTTTACAGCAAATAATAATGTGATATAAGCAAAGTTACAAAGCAAAATCGACATGTAATAGAAAGCCCGATGCTTACCATCTCGAAAACACTATGAAAAACTTCTGGACAAGTCTTGATGGAGCCGCATTTGGATATAATTGGCATATTCGAGCAACAAGGATTGCCCAGGAAATTCCACCGAGAAAGCCGACAATATTCGAATAAACGCCACGGTCTGGAAATGCAAACATCATATAAAAAACAAATATCATTTTTGAAATCAGTTTAATATTCGGACTGCATAAAGTCTATAATTTTGTTTTCCATTCAAACTTGACTAAAAAAACAGCTGGAAAACTGAGCAAAAAAATCCTTTCTTGTGCATGCTAAAAAATGCCCAACGCAACAACTGAAAAGAAATGAGCGATAGAAATAAGGAAGAACATACTTCGCGCCCAAAGCTTGATTGCTCGAAGAGTGCATGTGAAATTTTTAACATTTGGCACCAAATTTAATATTTCATCGGCAACACGACAGCCTGAAATGTGTGGATAGTGTAAATGGGGAATCGAGCGAGTTCGACAGTATGTTATTGCTTACTTCGGCAGCACAATGAACTAACCGTTTAATGAACGAACACTTTTCTCGTCCAAATTTTTCAAGATTAAATCATTTTTCAACTGCTGATCTTCAGGCACTTGTTTTGAAGCCAGGCTGGCGAACAGCACGTCCAGTTCGATGCCCCGGTACTTTAGTTTGATGAGTGGCACGAAAGCGTTCTGTACTTGTCGCAGTTCTGTTGTATTTGGATCCTGTACAAGCGCTCATTATAGCGAAAAAACAAGACAAATGCAGTAGACCGACTTCTGTATAGTCCAATAAATTTCACAAAAATTTCTTCTACACCGGCTGTTTCTAATAAGTGTGCAAATGAACGAGAATACCTCATCTAGCATGTCATAGAAGCTCGTGAAGAAGTCGTTGCGGCTGACATGTCGTGGTACCACGCACAATGTGTCGATGTCAGTACCTGCAAGACAAGTGTATCAGTAAAGGATATTGGGTAAAACACAGC